GTGTCACTCATCACTCAGTACAATAACTCATCACTTAACCCTCATCCAGGGAACTCTGGTGGCATAGTGCCTAAGGCATTTAACTGCTAACTAGAAGGCTATTGGTTCAAACCCACCAGCCATTCCTCAGAAGGAAAGTTGGCCAATCTACTTCCATAGTGATACCGCCTCGGAAACCCAAAGAGGGGTCACTCTGAGTCCGATCCGACTCGAGGGCAGTAAGTTTCGTTTTCATTTGGTAGCCCTCATCCACAGGGTGCAGCGGAGGGGAGGGGGAGGATCTTCACCTTGACCAGTGGGAGAGGGGAGGAGCCTTGGGAAGCTGTGAAGGGGTGGGCGAGCCTAGGCTGTTCTGCCCAGAGGGGGAGGTGCTAGTTTCCACAGGCAGGTCTGCCCATGGAGGGGACACCATGAGTTACTACACTGGGTGACACCAACCCTAGTGATGCCCTTGGATTCAACCTTTTTCAAGGCTCACTTTTTTTTCTCATCTTTCTCTGCTCTTTCACACACACACACATACATCCGTATATATACACATAGTGTTCTTCCCCTGGTTAATAGTATATAATCACCCAATCTGGAAACCTCAGAATTACCCTTGACTCTTTGTTTTCTCCAGTATTTGCATTCATTAAGTCCTCTTCATTTTACCTCTTTATTTCTTAGCTCTCTATCCCCTACTCTCCATCCTTCCTGCTATTCCTTTAATCTGTGCCCTTGTCTCTCATTTAGTCTATCGCAATGGTCTCCTGAAATTGAGTCTCCCTTTCTCTCGTTAGACACTGTTCTTTCTGCCTGGAATAATGTTGCTTACATAATGAATACCTGGACATCGTTCTCCCACTATGACTGCAGAGTCATCTGTTGGGATTTTCAACTCACTTCAAGTCTGATTTATGTATTTTGAGGCTCTTTCATTGGGTCCATAGATATTTATTATGGCTATATCTTCATGTTCGATTGATCCTTTAATCATTATATAATGTCCTCCCTTGTCTCATGGTGGTTTTTGTCTTAAAGTCAATTTGATCAGAAATTAATATTCCCACTCCTGCTCTTTTACGGTTGTCATTTGCTTGATATATCTTTTTCCAACCTTTGATTTTTAGTCTATTTTTGTCTTTGCCTCTAAGGTGTGTCTCTTGTAGGCAGCATATTGATGGGTTTTATTTTCTTACCCCATCTGCAACTCTGCATCTCTTGAGTGGTGCATTCAGTGTAATTATTGACAAATATGAATTGGTTGCTGTCATTTTGTTATGTGTTTTTTCATGGTGTCCCTGGTTTCTTTATTTCATATTATTTTCTGTGCTGAGCTCATTATATTTATGAATCATGTTATCATTTCCTTTGTTGCTGTTGTTTTAGTATTTGCTGAATATTTGTTCTTGTCTTTTTTTATTGTTTTATAAATTTTAGGTTTTAGGTTTATCCGTTTTCTTTGAGGTTACCCTGTGATTTATAATTATCTCCCCAAGATTAGAACAGTCCATTCTATCTTACAACTCTCTTGACTTCCTCACCATTTAGAAGTTCTGTAACTATTCAATCTTTTTCCTCTTTTTGGATTATGTGTCCTCACTTGCCGATTGATGTCTCTGGTTCCCTGTTTACAATCTTGTAAGCTTATTTTACTTTGGATATGTCCATAGCTGTGGTTTCTGGGTTATGTCATCTTGTGTATTAATGGTCAGTTGTTATTTGCTATTTTTGGTTCTCTGTTCAAAGGACTCCCTTTAGCATCTCTTGTAAGATTGGTCTGGTTTTAACAAATTCTCTTAGTTCTGCTTATCTGGAAATCTCCTAATTTCACCATCATATTTGAGGGACAATTTTGCCGGGTATATAATTCTTGGTTGAAAATTTTTCTCTTTTAGGGTTTTATATATACCATCCCATTGCCTTCTCGCTTGCATGGTTTCTGCTGAGAAATCAGGGCTTATTCTTACTGGTTGTCCTTTGTAAGTAATGTTTTGTTTTTCCTGTGCTGCTTTCAGGATTCTGTCTTTGTCCGGTTTTGATGAGTTTGATGATGTATGTCTTGGTGATTTTCTTTTGGGGTCTATCCTATTAGGGGTTCGAGGACTTCCTGAATGGATATATTCTCATCTTTCATCATATCAGGGAAGTTCTCTTCCAACAAATCTTGGACAGTTTTGTCAGTGGTTTTATTTTTCTCTTCCTGTTCTGGAATTCCAGTGGCTTGTAGGTTATTCCTTTTGATGGTATCCCACATGATCCTTAGGCTTTCTTCATTTTGTTTTGATCTTTTTTTCTGATGGATCCCTTTCCAAAGAAGTACTCAGGTATTTGTCTTCAATCTCATTAATTCCCATTGCATCAGTTCTACTCCTTTGCCCTTTCAATGTGTTATCTATTTCTGACAATTTAATATTAATCTTCTGGATTTCTATCTGTAGATTTTGAATCTCTTCTAATTTTTCATTTATTTTGTCATTTTGTTCTTGTATTTTCTTCCAGAATTCTTCTAGGGTTTTTTCTGTGTTTTCCTTGGTCTGTCTCTCAGTCCTTTGAAGATACCAAAATATAATTCTTTTGAATTCCTTATCAGAGAGTTCCAGTGCTGCTTCTTCTTTAGGGATATGTTCTGGATCTGTATCCTGCTCGTTTGTTTCTACCACTTTAGCTTGCTGCTCTGTGTGGACTGTGATGGTCTGTTGTCTCTGAGACATTGTGGCATTGTTGTATTTAGATCTCTGTTAACTGTTTGTGAAGAACAGCCAAGGGTCAGTCAGGCTTTTCTTGGTAATTATTTCTCATTGCCCGCTGGTGGAGAAGGAAGTGGTGGCTCTCAGTCAGTAAGTGAAGCTGCAGGAGGTGTGGGTGTAGTTGTGTTGTATGGGGACCGTTGCTATCTTACACTATGTTAGACAAAAGTAACAATTGAATAACCATCAAAAAAGTAAAAGCACATGGACAAAAAGTACACCATGTAATCGCACAGGAACAGTAACCAAAAAAAGAACAAAGGGAAAAAGAAGAAAATAGGGGGAAAAAAAAAACCCTGCAATATCTGGGGAGAGGGCAATAAGAGAAAAAAAGGTAGAGAAGGAGAATAATGAAGAAAAAAATGGGAAAATACAAAGAGAAAAACAAGGAACAGGATTAATCACAAGAAAGGGGGGAAAAAAAATGCAACCAGGAACAGGGAGAAGAAAAAAAGCTGAAACCTGGGAGGGGAAGAATAAAGAATAATAGTGAAAAGGACCAAAGTAATAATAATAGTAGTAGTTTTAAAACAGACAAAAACTAACTAAAAAACAGAAAACAGAGAGAAAAAAATCAGGGCAGGGCAGGGCACCCAGGTTCCATCCAAGCACACAGACTGGGATGGAGTTCCTGCCAGCCCAGAAGGTGGGTGGGAGTGAGGGATGGCCACTTCTCCATTCACCAAGAGGGTGTGGGGTATAAGAGTAACAAGGGGAATGTCACACATTTCTAGTCGTCCAGGTATGGAATGTCCTTGGGGTTCCTGGCAAGTGGAGCCTGTTCTTAAGTCCCTGGAACCTGGGAGAATGCTGTCACTTTAAATATCCAAAATGGTCAAGCCACTTGTAAACATTCAAAATGGCTGTGCACTCCGGACAGACAGAAGTCCACAGCTCAGCCCGCCGTCCTCTTCGCTGCCTCCCCTTTTATTCCCCAGCCACCAGAGCAGTCCTCTGTTCAGTCCCTGGCTAGCAGGGCCAATTTTTAGGTTAATTCTTAGGTCCTGCTACCACTCGGCAATATCCAAGCTGTTGTGCCATCAGGATCACTGCCAGACTGCAGCTCCATATGTCTCCATTTTTGGTGTTTTCATGCAAATTCTTCTGCTAGCTGGAGTTTAGTCCACTTCTATATCCTTCCCTTCAAGGCTTCAGGGGTCCAGGATTATCTTCTGTATCTGTATTAATTGGTTCCCCTTTTCTTTGTCGAAGAGGGTCTGTGCAGTCTTTCTGCCTATTCTGCCATGTTACCGGAACTCCAAATGCCTGGTCATCTTTCAAGACCTTCTCTATAAAATCTTTCCTAACATATTCTCCATGTACATAAAATGCTCTATTCCCTCCACTGTGCTCCTATGGCACTTTTTATGCATTGTAATTATTTGCCTGTAACCCTATAGAGCATGCATTCTTTGAGAAAAATGACAGGATATTACTCTTGTATTCAATTATCTGCCACCTTTTCCTTCCCTGCCCTCTCCCCCATCCATAAAAAAACGTACAAAAGTCCCTAGCTAATGTAGCCTTTTGTTATGTTTCTTTGTCCACATATGATAGAGTAAGTCAGTCTAAGACCCTACTATCATCTATACCTTCTCATGTTCACTTTTCAGAAGGATGAGATCTGGTTTGCTAACTTATCTGGAACATAATGTTGGGAGCAGAAAAGAAGTAAATGTGTCTGATTTATTAACATCTTATACCTGAACTTACTGAAGTTTGATAATACTGTTCTTAGATGATCTGGTTGTCAGTAAATACTATAATTCAAGAAGGAATAGCTATAGAATGTACCATGAAAAATTTCTTATGCCCTTCAAGAACTGTTTTGTGATGGGGACAAAATGCCTCTACAACTCCCATTCCCACTCTTCTTTTCCATTAGTAGTGTTTTCCCTTTACATTGGAGATAAATAAAAGTAGCATATAAAAGATTTTGTCACAAGGTTAGAGCTAAAATACGAAGTCTGTGTTGAGAGAAGAGGTTAATTTTGGGGAAAGAAATTATAGCTGTTTTTGGTAGGAGACTTCTTTATGGAACTGTTCCAGTTTAATCAAGTGCTGAAATTTTTTTTTTTTTTTTTTTTTAACATTCTACAACTTCTGTGGAAACATGGTTTACATTTACACAGATTGTAATAGGGAAATTAATTCAAAGACTGGTGTATGCTTTTGCTGGCAGTGAAATTTGTCTTGAACCTTGACAAACAGGAGCATTTTTTAATGCTGTTGACATGGAACTTCTATACTTCTCCCTGTATTCTTCAGGTTAACTCATCCCGAGGTTCCATATAATAGTGGAGCCACCCCAGCCACCAACAATCCAGAGTTTGTGGAGGATCTCTCCCAAGGTCAGCTGCTTCAGAATGAGTCTTCAAATACAGCAGAAGGCAGCGAACAGAGGCATGAAGAAGAAGTAAGCTAAAGTATCTCCTCCTGTTTCTGGCCTCTTAAGCTTCTGAAAAAGGAGTCAGCAAGGGAGTTGATCAAAGTGTTCATCATCAGGTCTTCTCACATTCTTAGGCTGATATCTGCAACATTTTCTGTTTTATATTTCTTAGTTTCCTTAGGCTCATAGAGATAGGTAAGCTTTTTCCCCCTTCCTAAGAAATGTATATCTACCTGTTTTCAACAAATCCTCATTGAATGAGTGAATGATTTAATTCAATAGGTAATTAATGAAATGTCCGCATGCTATACTTGTTCAAAGCCATACTCCATTCACCAAGCCCTGTAACAGAGGGCCATGTGTCCAAAGGACTCGCACCACTTGCCAAGTCACTCACCTCCGTAAGGGGACACCTTTGTCTAATTCATACAAGGGTTCCATGTGGGCCAGAGCAATTTTCTCCTTATTGATTAGACTTTCAGTGTTCTTCACAATTGATTGATTACATTGTATTTGCTTTAAGGCACTTTTTTTCCCCACCCAGAAAAGAATAACTACTATCATTGACTTTTTTTATTATTATTATTACTATTAAAAAGAAACTTTAAAAAAAAAAAAAAAACTTAGATGCTCTGGTAGCATAGTGCCTAAGGCACTTGACTGCTGACCAGAAGGCTGGCAGTTCAAACCCACCAGCGACTCCTCAGAGGGAAGGTTGGGAAATCTACTTCCGTAGCGATACTGCCTTAGAAACCCAAGGAGAGGGTCACTATGAGTTGGGTCCGACTCAACAGCACATAACAACAAACAACAACACAAAAAATACTTTGCCAAATGATAAATTAATAAACTATTTAACATATTTGGAGTAGAGGACTATAATTAATACTTAGATGTTTATGTCATATTCTGTTGATTACCTCTTCTCTGAAATAAGAATTCTTGTATCTGTAAAACAAGAATTCTTATATCTATAAAACATTAACTGAATAGGTTATATGTATCTGCAAAATTATGAAGTAAAAATATTATGTGCCTTGCATTTTCATTTAAAAGGAAGAAGAAAAAAGGTTGCAGTAAAACATCAAAGATTTCTATTCACTTGATACCTCAGTCCTTTTTTTAAGCCTTCTTGGAAGTAATTTAATCTTGATTTAACTCAGCAAATAAATATCTCTGACTTTATACAATATGCATATTAAAGAACAAATCATCAAGTAAAGCACTAGTCTTCATTTTGGATACATTATACTTACTAAAATTTTTCTAAAATTTAGATATTAAGTTTAAAACTATTGCTATCTGCTGTGGGAAATAAATTGGTCTTCAAATGGTTATCAATGAGAATGTCTTTCTGAATTATTTGTAATCCCTGTGCTACAACTTGTTCCCTCTTTTGCCCAGTACATGTGGCAGCATCTTTTGGTCTACTGTGACAGTGTATATTCTCATGTAGAATATGTGCTGTCGGGAACCAGGATCCATTAGGTGCACATGAAATGAAAGCCAAAGCTTGGATGATCATGGCACCTTTATTCTCATCTGTTGGGATTAGTACAGAATACCCCCAGAGTGCAGCAAATTGTACTGTGGTACAGGAAAAGATCTACATGTGAACAGTCTAGAATCCTTAATTGAAAACTTTATTGCAGTCATTTGTACCAGTTACAGGTTTGGAGAGCATTGAATGAATATCCAGGGTCTTATTGGTAGGAAAATGCAATTCTGTTTTGTTTGTTGGTATTTGTTGTTGTTGTGTTATTTGGAGGGGGAGGGGTTGTTTTGTTTTTATTTTTTAATTTTAATTTGTTTTGTAGCAAAGAAGTAAACGAGGAGGTTGGTCCAAAGGAAGAAAGAGGAAGAAACCTCTTCGAGACAGCAATGCACCCAAATCCCCCCTTACTGGATATGTTCGTTTCATGAATGAGCGTCGAGAACAGCTTCGAGCAAAGCGACCAGAGGTCCCATTTCCAGAAATCACAAGGATGTTGGGCAATGAATGGAGTAAACTGCCTCCTGAAGAAAAACAGGTAATCATTCAAATTCTTGATCCTTTGCTTGATTTTTATTATATCTCAAAAATAACATCTATCAGAAAAGCAAAGAGGATAGACAGTGGAGTCTCTGGTTTGGTCACAGAGTGCTTGGGAGACCAGAATAGCAGGATCTGTTATAACTCGTTCTTCTAGGACAGTGGTTTTAGAATTGTTTCAGAGTGTGCTGCAGGGATGTAAGCAGGAGAGAATTAGGACCCCCTCAACCAAAGCAGCTCTACTTTCATCTGATGTGTATGCTAAGAGTTCACATAGATTCAAAAAAAGTTATTCAATATTAAGAAATCCTCCAATACAATTTATTCTACTGACTTAAATGAAAAAAATGATGAGTTAAATGAGAAAATGCCAAAAAGTCATTTGATAAAATTCTGCTGTTTACATAAAATTTTTGTGGAAGAAAAAATTTTTACTGCTTTAATAATTTTTGTTTAAGTACAATTTTGGCAAATTTAAACTACTACAAAAAACAAAGCAAGAACTATTTGAATTCTCTCTCCTCCAAAACAGAAACTAACCCTGCTGCCAGACTGAAACAAATCTATTTGTTAGAGAGACTGAGGGGAATTAAGGATGGTATGGCCATGAGCTGGTTGAAATGTCACAAAAGTAGTGATGATAATGATTGTGGGAATGTTTTTGAGTTAAAAGTTCCTAGCACTCCCAGGATCTGAAAGATAACCTACATTTCTTTCATATATCGCACTGTTAAATCATCTTTAAGAAAAAATTCCAAAACGACTGTTCTTTAAACCAAATTGAAGGATACTCTCTTTAGAATTAATTGCATTAAGATTTTTTTCAAAGAGATTAATTTGAAACTTGAAGCTTTGTGTTTCTGTTAACAACCTAGTACAAAGCAGTGTACATCTTCCATTGTTGTGGCTATACTATCAGGGATTATGAGCTGTACTTTCTTTTTTTCTTCTATTTTTCAATTTCAAATTAATACATGCTCATTGTTTAAATTGTTTTTTTAGACAATACAAATACTTATCTATAAAAGAAAAAGCAAAACTAACAATAGTTATCTCCAGGTATAAGGCAACCACTGTTAGGTGATTGTTGTTGTTGGGTGCGATCAAGTCTATTTCAACTCATAACAACCCCATATGATAGAGCAGAACTTCCCCATAGGGTTTTCTAGGCTATAATCTCTACAGGAGCAGATTACCAGGTCTTTTTCCCACAGAGCCACTATGTAGGTTCGAACTACCTACCTTTCAGTTAGCAGCCAAATCCTATTGTGCCACTTTGTTAGGTAGGTAGGATAGGTTTTTTTGTTTGTTTTCATGTTTCTTTAAATTTTTATTTGAAAGTCATTTCAAATGTACTAAAAGGTACAAACATAAAAATAGTAAAAAAAAAAAAAAAAAATCTTCACCCAAATCAAAATAAAATTTAAAAAAAAAAAATAGTAAAAAAAAATACCCAAATACCTTTTATCCAGATTCACTTGTTATTAACATATTTTATTCCATTTTTCCATTTTCATGTGCCTTCTTACTCCTTTGAGGTCAAGTTATATACAATGTGACCTTTCTTACCCCTAAAATATCTCAGAGAGTGTTTCCTAAGAATAGAGATAATCTCTTATATAACCACAGTATAGTTAACAATTTCATAATAATATAGTACTGCCATCCATAGTCCACTTTTTTCAGTTGACCTAGTATCATTCCTTTGTAACATTTCTTTTTCTCATTCTTTTCTCCTCCAGTACAGATTTTAGACTAGGGTCACATATTGTGTTTGTTAGTCAAGCCTCCTTTAACCTGGAATATATGTACAGTCTTTGTTTTGTATAACATTGGCATTTTTTAAGAATACAGTCCTTCCTTTTTTTTCTTTTAATAGAACATTCATTATTTGCATTTGTCTGTTTCCTCGTGATTAGATTTAGGCTGTGCATTTTAGGTCAGAATACTATGTAGATGATATTGTGTCCTGCTCAGAGTATTACATGTGAAGGCACACAATGTCTATTTGTTAAAATTAACATTGTTAATTTTGATCTCCCTTAATAGTGAATAAGCAATCTGGGGGAAGAAACTTCAAGAACCTGCAAATAAACTGTTCCACATCAAATTTCGCTGTAGATTTAACATACATTAATGATTCTTGCCTGATCCAGTCTTTACCATTATGGTTACAAAATTATTTTCCTACTCCAGCACTCTACATTTACTAGTTGGCCCTCAGCATTTTAATGAGCACGAGTCCTCTTGTCCCATTTATGCATTTATTTACTCATTACTGGTATATTATATGCTGTTGAGTTGGACCCAACTCATACTGACCCCTCCTTGGGTTCCGAGGCGCTATCACTATGGAAGTAGATTGCCCAGCCTTCCTTCTGAGGAGGAATATTCTTGTTTCTCTATCTCCAATCCATTCTGAGGGTTGGCAGTCAAGTGCCTTAGGCACTATGCTACCAGAGCTCCCGATTATTGGTACATTGTTGTTGTTATGTGCCATGGAGTGGGACCTGACTCATAGCAACCCCTCCTTGGGTTTCCGAGGCAGTATCACTACGGAAGTAGATTGCCCCATCTTCTTTCCGAGGAGTGGCTGGTGGGTTTGAACTGCCAGCCTTCTGGTTAGCAGTCAAGTGCCTTAGGCACTATGCTATCAGAGCTCCGATATTGGTATAGAGATATAAATTTCAGGGTTTTTTCCCAATGGTTTATAATTCATTACTCTATTTCATGGTCTCAGTGTTTTAATTGTTCCAGATTTGGCCATTTGGATGCCTTGTACATCTGACTCTTAATGTGGGACAAGATCTTTAACATAAGACTGTTTTGTGTTCAACCAGTATTTTTATATTTAATTTCTTGTACCTAACTGATGAATGAAAAGACAAAGCATTGCACAAAATAATCCTGGTAGATCAATGAACACTGTTTAAATAATTAATAGAACAAAGCACACAGCAATCAAAGCATGTAGATATAGACTCTCTCAAAGTAGTCTGTTTTGAGTCCATAGGATGAGGTCATTCTTTTTCATGTTCTTCTGTCTTTCCAGCTTTAGTGCTCTACTCTTCAGGCTCTTAAAAGGCCAATTGATGTATGAGATCATTCCCTCAGAATGGATTGGAGATAGAGAAACAAGAATATTCCATTCCTTCCCCTGGGAAGACTAAATAAGTCTATGTGATGTTCAAACCACATGAAGACTCTAGTGGCCATGTGGAGTTCTATTGTAGGGTTAAAGGAATAATTATAATCTTCTTCTCCATGAATTTTTAATGAGAATGATCTCAATAGAATTTATCTTCATTAAGCTAGAAAAGACAAACAGTCCAAAACTTACAATCACCTATTTCTTAGATTATATCTTATTCTACTAATAGACCTCTTGTTTTTCTGATTCTCCCTTAAAGCTTATTGCCAGTCCACTTTTCTTTCCCTGCTTTCATTATCCTCCATTTTCTTCAAACATGTCATTGATTTTTTTACCTAATATGTTTCTATTTCTTGAAAATAATTCCATGTTTCTTTCCTAGCGCTATCTTGATGAAGCAGATAGAGATAAGGAACGTTACATGAAGGAACTGGAGCAGTATCAGAAGACTGAGGCATACAAGGTCTTCAGCAGGAAAACCCAGGATCGTCAGAAAGGCAAATCTCATAGGCAAGGTATCAGAACCAAATGTATTTGTAGTTTGTTGTACATAAAAGAATGTCACAAAGTCAACTATTAGAGTGATAAAATATAAAAGATGTATTTCTGTCATCTCTGTATTATCCTACATTCACTTATAGGAATTCTATAAAATAACATTTTATAGAATTTTGGAATTCTATTAAAATAACATTGCTTTCATCGTAGAAATTTTAATTGAGTTTCTATATCCAGCATCAACAATTTGACTTGTGTTTAAGACCTGTATTCTTTGCCTGCTCCCTTTTTTTTTTCCCTAATTCTCAGTTTAGGTTATTTCTTTTCCTCTGCTCAAATCTGTATACTAAACTACATAACCGTCTTGCTTTAACACCTCTGAGCCTTTCATGTACCATTTCTCACATTTCTCTTATCCTCTAGTGAACATCCCTTTTATTTACTCATTCGCTTATGTATGCATCCATTCAAAAAATATTTATAGTGTACCTCCTGTTATATCAAGCTGCCTTCTAGGCATTAAGGATATATCAGTGAATAAAAAGGATAAGATCTGTGTCTTCATGGATCTTTTGTTCTATTAAAATTATTAATCACACACCTATGAGTATTGTTTCAAGTTCTCCTTCCTCAGGAAACACTGCCAAGGAGCCCTACCCACAACTAAACTGTCAGTTACTTAACAATTGCATCTTCTCCAAACTTGAGCATCTAACCTGCTAAAATTATAATATACAAATGGACTTTGGTATGTGTTTCCTGTCCTCCATATCACCCTGTCCCCCCCAAAGTAAGAACTCTATCTGCTGTTTCTCTTGTTCCTAATTGTTTACTCTGTAGGTATGGGTTTCCCTTTAACATTTGTTGACCAACTAATTAATAAAGCCGTAAGGAAAAATATTCTAAGTAGTGAGAATCTATATGTACCGGCAGTTTTTGTAATTTGGTACAGTCGTATACTTGAGTTTTGTTATAGTTTGTAGTGTTTGTTTATTTCTTAATTTAATGTTCTGTTATTCTTTCGTATTTTTAGATGCAGCTCGACAGGCTACTCATGATCATGAGGTAATTAACCTTCTGTCTACATATTAGATAGATAGATAGGTAAATAAATTGATCATAATATTACTGTTTGAAATGTTGTTGAACTTTATTTCCTTTTATGAATGGCATAGTATTTCTAATCCTTTAATTCTTATTGGGTGAATTGCTTTAGCTCAGGAGTTCTTAACATATGGCAGATTTTTACGCCATGAGTCTGTCTTTGAACTACAGTTTCTAACCCTAACCTTTCTGTCCAAGAATTTTATTGACTTTAAATGCCAAAGATAGCTGGAATTTAGAGTGAGGGCCATACATATATATATATATATATATATATATAATATAATATAATATAGGAATGAGGGCTGACTGAAAGCTATCATTTGACCATGGCTTATCATCATCTAAAACCTTAGTTAATTAGGGGAGGACACAGGGCAGGATTAGGGATGCTCATCCTGTTCCTCCACCCTTTACACGTAACCTGGCTCCAGGCCACATGCACCCCACTCCGTCCCTGGATGCTAACTCTTGAGCTCTGTGTGGCCTCTTACCCTGCCCGAGACAAAACCCCCATCTCCAGTTGGCCTTTCCATCTCCCCAAAATGAGAGGTGTGTGTGGCAGGACTAGTTTCTTCAAGCCAAGTGGGTGGTTTCAAACAGTCCCACCAAGGATGAGGCAGTGCTACCAGGAGTTTCTACAACCAGAAGAAGGGATGAGAACAGCTATTGGATAAATATGAACAAGAGTTGGTGATATTGTATGATATGATACTAGTTACAGGGAAGAGAAAGAGAAGGACCCAAAATAGATAAAAGAGAGAAGTGCTCAAGGACAGGAGGAGATAAAGAAGAAGGAAGATCCCTGGCCTGGGAGCCCACTTACCCTGCCAAGCAAAGTGACCTGTGAGCTGAAACTTCTGCTCAGTCTCTTGTTTTTATACCTTTGTTTTTGTTTTGTTTAAAATATTCCTATTGGATTTCTCCAAAAATAAAAATAAAACCTTAGTTATTTAGGGAATCCAGCATTTAGATAAAATGAACTATGCAACTACAGTATAGACAGAGCACAAATGACAATATCTTGGTTCCATGCCTCCTTTCCTATTCCCCCACCACACTGCCACATATTTGTTTACTGGCTTCTTCTCTTCCATTTGGGTGAACTCCATAGATAAGATTTAGGTCTGTGTTCCTGTGTGTATTTGCTATGCTTCATAACGAGCTTTAAATATATGGTTAATACATGGTTGTAATATAATTTGTGGTAATTCATGCTTTTAACACTCTCAATGACTACCCATTGCTTATCACATCATGTTCAAACTCAGCAAGGTCTCTTCCCAACTGCCTGAACACCTTTTTTTTTTTTCCTATATGTATTAAGTAAGGAACTCTGGTAGCACAGTGCCTAAGGGATCTTGACTGCTCACCAGAGGGTTGGTGGTTCAAACCCGCCACCCACTTCATGGAAGGAAGACTGGGCAATCTACTTCCATAAAGATTTACCACCTCAGAAACCCAGTGGGGGTTGCTTTGAGTCTGCATCAACTCAAGTGGTTTGTTGTGTGTATATGTACTTCCTGTTTGCATTTGTATCATTCCTTTCATGAGAACACTTTCTTTCCCTCACACATTTCTTCTACTTCCCCCATCCTTTCATTTCTGCCTCCCAAAATTCTAGCCATTCTTCAAACCCTATTTCAACTTCCATGTCCTTGTTCAAGCCTTTCCTATTTTCTTTAACCCTCCCAGCTCGCTATACTTCTTTTATGCAGTTAACTGACTCAGCCAGCTGTTGAAGTTATTTGAATGCTTCTGTTATTCAGACTCTTGAATTGTCATCTCTTTGAGGGTATGCCCAGTCTAGTTTCTATCTTTGTATTAACCTCATACTACCTAGCATTTACACCCTTTCATGGAGAAGATATACCGTAAATACTTTTGAATTGAAATATTCATATGCCTTTCACAAATGGATTTGCTTAGAGGACAGCTTTATATGGTTTTGAACATAAAGAGAGAAGCCATTTTCTTGCTGAGCCACGTGAAAAATAAAATTCTTTCAAGCTAGTACATTATAACAGTGTCTCATACATGAGCTTACAGCAAAAGATTCAATCTTTGCTTTCCCAAACATGGTTTGAGACTCTCCTGAATGTTTCATATACTTTCACATGGTTCTTGACAATAGCAGGAGTCCCAAGGCTAAATAATAGAATATGGTCCCATGCTAATTGGGACCCTGATCATCAGCTCTATAGTTGTCTTTCTAATATCTGATCCATGCTTTTTCTGAAATTATTTATTTGTTTTTAGGTAAGAACCCATTAGGGGTTGACTTGAAATAACCATGGGAATTTGAAAAAATGAAATTTTCTAATGTACCTTTTTGCGTGGTTTTTTTCTTTTCATTTTTTTTTTAACTAAATCAAGAAAATAATTTCTTCAAAATAGTAACATTTATCTTGAAATATCATAGTTCTCATATCTAATCTGGTACTAGTTCAAAACATAAAACATAAGATTTGGATTCACAAGTCAAAATATATTTGTTACTACTCGTGAATTACAAAGATGTATGAGAAGCATAGTAATTATTAGTATTTTATTCTTCATATAAATCCTGTACAAATGTAGTTATATATAACATCTCTGTGCTATAATTAAGATTAAATGCTATAAATAGTTTTTGCTTAGCAACTTTGTGTGTAGACTTTGTAGTTTATATTGTAATTGAGTAATGTTGTAGACCTTCCATATTACCAGATATTTGTATAATTACTTGTTTCTCTCTTCGTCTGTGTGCCTACTCAACCAGTATCATGAAATTTCCATACTTCTTCTTTCAATAGTAAGCATTCTTTATAGGTTCTCCATACTTAATGGTTACAAAAGAGAATTTGGACAGTTACCTAAAACATTAAATTTCTTATTTTCTAGCCAATCACTGATTAATTTCATTGCATGGATTTTGCTGGCCAATAGATGTGGCCTTTCTACCTTTATGAAAGTTGAGATAGTTGCAGTCAGGAAGGATTTTCATCATTCATTGAAGGGGCTGCTGCTGATTTGAGAAATGGAACTTTTTATTAAAGTGCATTATTTAGTACACTATTAATTTCTATGATTTATAAAATGCAGTGAGTCTTTGTGTGATTTCCCTATTCCAGTATTAGACACATATTAAAACAAACAAACAAAAAGTAAAAGGGTGATAGATGAAGAGCCAGCAGTAGTTTGTCAATCTTACATACAATAAGCTCTGTAAATCTCCCTGTTGACTTACTCACTTCAGGAAAGAGCTCTCTTAGTAAGATTATTGGCCCAATTAATTTCCCCGACTTTTACCAGTTTTTATTTTGCTTTGAATATTATCTTTCCTAAACTAGCTAATTTCAAAGCAATTGCAATATAAACAAATTATTTCAATAGCTTCTAAACATAGTTACATAGTGATTTCCTTACATAAAACTTTTTAGTATACAAAAGAACCTGTTGCTATTGAGTCGACTCTGATTCATAGTAACCCTATAGGACAGAGTAGAACAGCCTCATAAGGTTTCCAAGGCTGTAAATCTTTACAGAAGCAGACTGCCACATCTTTGTCCCATGTAGTTGTTGGTGGGTTTAAACCAGCAACCTTGTTGCTAGCAGTGGAACACTTAACCACTTTGCTACCAGGGCTCCTGTTTTAGTGTACTAGAAGTGCAGAAAAACAAAAAAGCACTATGGGTTAAAAAGCAATCACAGAAAGGAGTGAACTGAATCAGGCCTTAAATGGCACAGATCTTCTGTGTGTATTGGAAGCACAGGTCTTCTGTGTGTGTTGGATAAAACGACTTGAGCAAAGGTAAGAGTGAGTTAATACAATGTATGAGCAAGTATCGTGGAAATGCCTGAAACATAGATTTTAAATACTTGCTTAATTCCCTTTACTTTGTGAGAAATAAAATGAGAAATGTATAATAGGATAGTCTTAGAGCTTATCATAGAATACTGGCATCTCAGTGATCCTCTCAACTGACCCTCTCATTTTTGCCAGTAGGAAGGATATTTGCCTAAGACAAGAAAGAACTTACCCAAAATTACTTGTTGAATTATATAGAGGCAGAAGTATGACTGAAACCCAAGACTTCTGTATCCCAGTTTAGCATTCTTGGCAACACAAAGCACACTATATTGTATAAAGTAAGCTAACTTTATTGAAGGTTAAAATGGTCGTGGGAATGTCAGCAGAATTTGTTGCTAGTAAAACAGAAACTGGTTTGTGTATAGTAATGAAACCTATTGTATTCCTGTATGGAACTTGGATTCCTAAGACATTGTTATGAAGGCAGGTCCTGTAGAGTACATATGAGAGCTAAAGAAATGTGGGCCTGAAAGCCATTCTGCATAGTAGTGGAGCACTTCAGCCTGGTACACAATATTAAGCGCATTCCCTGAAGTAAAAGGTACTTGAGATAAGCATATCACACTCTATGAAGTTCTGGCTCTCAGCCTAGATCACAACAAAATAGGTTCAGCTCAAAAGGACTTGTGTTCTTTTATCCTCCACTCAATATATAGAATGAAAACCAAAATGGAAAATATTCTTGCTCCTCTCAAATCAAAAGCCAGTTCACTAGACCCAGTAGTCAGCTAGGGTTACTCTCAGGAGTGTGTCTTCATCTCTTATAAGAACTAAGATGGAAACAATAATTTTGTTTCTCATTTAATTTATGAGAAATGACAAAATGACACTCAGCCTGAACAAATTAGACCTTTTCACTGAAGAGGTAATCAAATCCATATGATTTTATTCCCTTGCGTGATCCTTGGAGCAGCTTAAGTATATCGAAGCCCCCAGTAGAATCCAAGTAATGCCAAGTAATGTACTCGGTAATGGAAGAGTGCTGATGGTTTTTATTACCACTCTTCCGTTAAGCAGAATTTCTCAGTAGCCTTTCAGAGACTGAACAGTTCTCTTTAATTGCTTTAATGTTTGTGCTTTAAGAATCTGTACCAAGGGGCAGTATGTTATTATATCTGTGTTGTGCTATCCCTTGCCCTTCCATTGTTAGCTTGGTTTGAACTGCTTGGGCAAAGAAGAGAATAGAAGATATGTTAGACAGTCTAAGAAGAATCATGGCCTGCTGCCCTGGGAGAGAGCTGTTTACACCATGGTAATGGGAGCCAGCCATCCCTACCTGTCTATATATATGGTCTAGCCATATTTAGACCTATGGCTAGGCATCCAATCTTGCATAAACCTGTACAATTAAGTAGGAGACTTACAAAGTAGGATTTATCCTATGTCATTTGTGGACTTTTGCTTTATTTATTATGCCTTGCACATGTTAGGATTATGTCATAAGTTTTCTGTTTTCCTGCAGCAATGAAGTTAGAGTATATGGTAAGCCAGCAGAATAGAGAGAAAGCCACTACAAAATGTGTTTAAGGTCCTTTTTGCAATTAACCTTTCTTATCAAACATTAGAATCCCATTGATACCCACTAGGATCTAGCTCAAGGTAGAGCTTTGTATTGTTCTGGGAAACTTTACTTTCTTTCCATAGGAGGAAAACAATATGATAAATATTAAATGTTCTTTATGTTTTCTCAGGTAAATACAGGTATGCATTGCTTAACATCTGTTTGAGTAACCTGAGCAATAATATCTGACTACATTTAAGTCCATGGTCCGTTAAGATTTTGTTTTTAAAAAAAGGGAAAACAGCCTTCCTTTTGTTTATTATTTCCCCTTAATGGTTTGAAAGACCCCAGGCCTACACTCTTGCAGTCCTGGACCACAGGTGGTTTACAGGCAAGTGAGGCAAAGGACATGGCTCTGGGCATAGACTCTCAAGCTTTGCCCAGTGAGCAGGTAGGTAGAACAGCAGGCAGGGCTAGGCACATTCGATTTTCTCCCAATTCGTTTCTGCTTCCGCTGCACTCTCAGCTGCCACTGCTATTGCTTGTTCCTCCAGGCTCCACCAGCAGCTCCCAGCAGCAGCAGTGAAGATGATTAGAAGTGAGCTCCCGTAATTTTTTATTTTATTTTATTTTGTGATTTGGGTGAAAGTTTATAGAGCAATTCATTTCTATACAACAGTTCACACACATTTTGTTTCACATTGATTGCAGTCCCCACAATGCAACAGCTCCCTTCCCACTTCCTCCCTGTAGTTACCTTTTCCTGTGTCCTTCTTTCCTATGCATTCTTGGCCTCTGAGCTATCTCCCTGTGCAAATACTGCCCTTCTGCCTATGGTTGATCATTCTAAGGAATGTACCTACCTGATGTAAATGTTCACTTTATATGCCTGTCTATTATTTGACTGGAAACACCAGAGTGATTTCAATTCCAGGCCTGAAGGGTGACTAGGGGCTATAGCTTTAGGGGTTTCACTGGTCTCTATCAAACCAGTAAGCCTGGTCTTTTTTTATTATTTTAAGTCTTGTTCCACATTTTTCTCCCCCTCTATCCAGGATCTCCTACACTGATCCCTTTCAGAGTGGTTTACAGTGGTAGCTGGGCACCATCTAGTTTTGGTCTCAGGGTCATGTAGACTGAGGTTCACATGGTCCACTAGTCCATTGGACTTACTGTTTCTATGTATCTTTGGTTTTCTTCATTCTCCTTTGTTTCAGGCGAGGCAAGACCAGTTATTGCATCTTGGAAGGCCATTTGCAAACTGTTAAGACCCCAGTTGCTACTCACCAAACAAAGTAGGATGTAGAACGTTTTTGTATAGTATGTTACGCTGGTTGAGCTTGATGTCTCCCAGGACCATGGTCCCAAGCCTGTGGGCCCAGTGACTAGTGACTCACTCGCTGAGGGTGTCTGGCTGTGGGTAAGAAGTTATCATCATTTTGCCCTATTATCTCTTTTATATATGTGGACGTTCTTATAGCACATACAAATATGTATGTAGAAATAATCGTTTCCCAAACTTATATATGGTCATCAGTATATTCCCTTTTGCCTAGACATACCTGATCATTTAGCCTGTCTACCTATGTATCCACCTGTGGATTAATGATTGTTATTACTGATAATGCAGTAATATATATGTAAAAATATTTATTTTTGTTGGCTGTACTTCTTGTGCACCTCTCTGTGTATGATGATTTAATATGCTCACACAACATCCAAATCACATAACATCCTCTTTCATAGAACGTATCGTGGATATTAATCAATACAGACTTGTACATAGTTGTTTAGAATTCCATCTTAGATGTTTATCTTGATCAGCCACCATTTGCAAGCATAAACCCAGCCCCTTACAAGGCAGATACCAATATGAAAACAGGAATTTGGCAGTCAGAGTTTCCTCATAAGATTTAACTGCTTAGCTTTTCTGTTGGATACCAAATCATATTTGACTTACATTTAATGCTCAAAATATTCAAAGATAAAAGACTAGTGGTACCAAGAGTAGTAAAGATACATTCTATCTCTGGCTTTAAACATGTTTTTTATAAGAATAATTTCTAATTTTTTGTTTCGTTTTGTTCTTTTTAACAGTTCTTCATGTAATAGAGATTTTGAAATCTTCAAGGTTCCATTAGCTGTTTCTTCAGCACTAATTCCCACTGTTTTCTTTACCATTTTTTATTATGCAAGGTTTTGAATACTGTGCCAAGAAGCTCATAATTTATATTCATAATGCTTTCAACTTCAAATTCATTGTCAAAATGGCAGCTAACATATTTTGAAAGTATTGACTTTGTACTTAAGGATCATTGTGCAATGTATTTTGTAGTGGTTTTGTGAGACTATTTTCAATGACTTATTGGTTAATTAATTTTAGGCTTTGTAATTCTCTTTTATCTCATATAATCCTGAGCTTTCTCGTTTTTTGGCGTTCTGGTGGCATAGTGGTTAAAGCATTTGGCTGCTAACCAGAAGGTTGGCAGTTCAAACCCACCAGCTGCTCCACAGGAGAAAGATGAGGCAGTCTGCTTCCATAAAGATTTACAGCCTTGCAAACCCCGAAAAACAGGACAATTTTACTCTGTCCAGAGGGTCTCTTAAGTTGGAATTGACTCAATGGCAGTGTGTTTGGTTTTTTGTGTTTTCTCATTTTTGAAACCTGATTATTACTGGCTTCTTGGTTTTGTTTATTTGCTTGCTTACCTGTTTTGTTTGTTTGTTTGTTTGTTTTCTGTGTTTAAGAAATTTTAAAAAAAGAAAGAAAAAATCTAAAAGAGTCCCATGTATAGACTGCACCTGGTAAATAAATACAAGTGTCAGTGGAATACCATTATGCTCATAGCTGGCAGATCTCTACTTAAAATTCTTATTGTCCACTCTATAAATTTAGATTGGCTGGTCAGGGAACATTTTATATGCATAACCATAGAAGTGACTAAAAAAACACCTAGAAATTCCCTTTCTCTATTTCCACTGCACCCACTTTCAGAACTGTATTTATTCTATTGACTACTCAAATGACTTCCAAATGACTCAAAAAATGACTTCCAAAATCTCCATTAGAGATGTTTGTATAGGTTTGTTGTAAAGTTTCTCATTGCACAGCAGTGTACACCTGAGAGAACTGAATATTTAACTTGCTTGACCTTGTATAAGGAGCTGTGGTGGCATAGTGCCTAAGGCATTTGACTGCTGATCAGAAGGTGGGCAGTTCAAACCCACCGGCCACTCCATGAAAGGAAAATGGGGCAATCTGCTTCCATAACGATTTACTGCCTCAGAAACCCAGTGGAGGTCACTGAGCTGGAACTGACTCTGTGGCAGTCGGTTTGGTTTTTTGTTTTTGTTTTTGAGCTTGTGTGGAACTTCAGTTCTACTGGGAAGGTGAATACATTTCCTTTGCAGCCTCACTTGGATTGATTCCTACGTAACCTGCTGTTTCTTAAAGGAAGACATGACCATTGTGCCATTATTATTTGATTTTGCTTCTGCTTAGGAATTAACTCTTCCGAAAGGAGGGTGAGAGTGGTTACACAACTCAAAGAATATAATGTGTCACTAAATTTTATGTGTAGAAACTGTTGAATTGGTGTAGGTTTTGCTGTGTATACTGTCAATGACAACAACAAAATACAATTTAGAAAGAAAAAAAGAATTAATGATTCTGTTACTGTTGATTCACAGAAAGAAGCAGAGGTAAAAGAGCGATCTGTTTTTGACATCCCTATATTTACAGAGGAATTCCTGAACCACAGCAAAGGTGATTACTGAAGATCTTTTTGTGCTCCTCAGGTCTGTGACAGGGGTTTCAGTTCTCAGGAGGATTTCATTGTTCAAAGGCAATAGTAGTGATACGCCTTCTTAGAACTTATCTGAAAGACAGAGTAACTACTTCTATTTCATGCTGTATTAAAAGTAGCTACTCATACACCAATGGAGGAAAGGTAGGCCAATGTTATCAAGGCTGCTTTAGTTTCTGAATCAAAACTCATTTATTCAAAAGGAATAAATATAAATCACTAATTCAATTATTTTCAAACTCTTAATCATGGAACGCTTTGTACAAATGAAAACTTGTATGGGAGTCCAAAATTTAAAATAAGAAAGAACAAAGCTAATCTCATTATGATGAAGATGGAGACCCACGGCTGTACTTGGCCAGTCTCTCAGGATCCCTCTGCAGAAATCCCTCAGGCTTTTCAATGTACAGTTTTAAAAGGCAAAAACAAAAAGTACTGCTGTAATACTTTAGGGGATTGTTACTGTTCCTTGCAATCTTATATATAGAATATGACCAACTTTAGGATATTAAAATAGCTCTGGGAGGCAGGCATTTCATTGCTGGAATTGCTACCTGGAATGCAATAATAAGAATAGGGAGATGAGGTGGAGTAGCTAAATGCATTCTAATTAGAGGTAGCCAACAGAATTTCCATATAAGCACATCAGGACTCCTCAGAGACTCCTTGTAGTGCTATGTTTCCTGTGGGGGGTGTATGTCCTCAGCCCGGGAGGCAGAGCTCCGCCAGCTTCGCAAGTCCAACATGGAGTTTGAGGAGAGGAATGCAGCCCTGCAAAAGCACGTGGAAAGCATGCGCACAGCAGTGGAGAAGCTGGAGGTGGATGTAATCCAGGAGCGGAGCCGCAACACAGTCCTACAGCAGCACTTGGAGACCCTGCGGCAGGTGTTGACCAGCAGTTTTGCCAGCATGCCCTTGCCTGGTAATGATATTTCAGTGGACGGGGTGGCAACGAGGGAGATACTGTCTATGATGGTATTGGTTTGCTAAGGCTTAAATATCCCTCAAGAGGAATATCAATAAACTACATTTTTCTATGGGTCATGTAATAGAATCTGTATTGGTTAAAGTTATCCAAAATTTCAGATTCTCTTGTCATTTAGATTTTCCCCATTTATGTTTTGATACAGTATACTTTCCTCTCTGTTGAGTATAATTTGATATTCAGAACAATGGAAATTGAGTAATAAGTTCTGAATAGAGCATTTTCTTTTACTTGTATATATTAGCTTGCTTTGTATTTGTTTTTGCTTTAATCAAAAGGAAGAGAAGAAGCAGATACTAGTATTTCTTTATTCTTTTTCATTTTTGAGTATAATCAAAGCAGAAAACTGCAAGAGTCTCTAACCTGTGGTTATTAAATATAGCTGCTCATTCATGCTGTACAGCAATTATTTAGCCAGTCTGTTTATTATAGTATATGGATTAATTTCATTTCTTTGAGATCTAAAATTATTATCTTGTTTGTGAAACAGACCACAAAAGAGTTAACAGTGTCTTTTGCTGTGAACTCACTTGTTTTATGATTGAACTCAATGGGGAATATTTTCTTACTCTCTCTTTATCTCACTTCAGGAAGTGGAGAAACACCTACAGTAGAAACTATTGATTCATACATGAACAGACTACACAGTATTATTTTAGCTAATCCCCAAGACAATGAAAACTTCGTAGCTACAGTTCGAGAAGTTGTGAACAGGCTTGATCGTTAGAGAATGGTGAGTGCTCACTACTCAGATCCTAGTAAATTAAGTAAATGAGTTGGAGGCTTAATTAAGATTCCTGTTGCCTGACTGCTACATGTATTAAATAATGTTAGAAATGTTTAAATAATGTTAAAATAATGTTAGAATGTCAAGACAGATTTTTCTCAGGCTTTTCTCAGCATAATTTCATAGAAACACTCTGAATTTGTGGTTGAACTTGAGTTCTAGCTTTGTCACTTATTAGATGTATTCTTGGCCATTTATTTTCCAAAGGGTTTTGAAGAGTGAATGAGAATCTTAGAGGAAAGCATCCAAAATAGCAGTTAAAACAAAATAGATACCACTTGACTGTTAACCTTCATTTTTACTGGAAAATATTAATGATAATTTACAACAAGTAGTTAGCAAGATAATGTGTATCTGAATAAGTAAGAAGTTTTTCATTCATTATTCAGTATTAGAGGAACTCTGGTAGTGTAGTGCCTAAGGCACTTGACTGCTAAAGGCTGGCAGTTCAAACCTGTAAGCCACTCCTCGGAAGGCAGGTTGGGCAGTCTGCTTCCATAGTGATACCTCCTCCTCGGAAACCCAAAGAGGGGTTGCTATGACTCGACCCACGTCCCACTCGATGGCACCTAACAACAACAACAACATTGAGTATTAGAGTGCTTATTGTATGTTAAATGCTAATGCAAACTAACCTTACAGTTAATGTCCTGATATAAGAGATTAAAAAGTAACCAAACTCTCAATAAACAAGAAAGAGAGAAAAGAAAATAAACTTTTAAAATAATATATTCAACAAAGGATAAGTAGTATGTGTTACATCCTTTTAGAGGAGAAAAAAGTACATTTCCAGAAGTGATCTGCCCATGCAGAACAAACCTTTTGGTGCTAACAAGTCACTCATCAGGTATCATTTCTTAAATGGATGTGGCATTTTTTCACTCAAATTCCTAGTGATAAGATACTCTTTAGTTACTCTTTAGTGTGTCTTCCCACAGATGGATAACCTTTGGTCATATATATATAAATATTATCAGCATGGTTTAGACTTTGAGTGATATGCATAAGAATAAATAAAATTTTTGTGTAATGAGGCAGCATCTGCTAATAGAGACAAAGGCAGAAGTCTTTATCCTTTTTGGTCATGTTCTTGGATGGTACAAGCAATTCATTATACTTTAGCCTCAGCGTACTCTGATGGGGAAAGGATTACTGTCCTTCTAGTGAGTAGCCAGACGGAACAGACTATACTTCTAAGAGATGGCTGGATTCCCTGCAGACTAAAGAAGTGGCATTACTGCTGCTGTTTACGAAGGGAACAGCTTGTAAATCTAGGTCTGGGATTTTCAGGAGCTCATCATCCTTCTCATTTTCACACAATGTTTTCAATTAGCACTCTTGTAGGCTTGAAAAGAGAGAGCTGGGAGAAACTGTGTGGAAGATTGTGTAAGAACACAGTAATTGATAACATGGTGTTTCCTCACACAGGTATAGGATAGTTATTGCAAGTATTGTGCCAAAAGTGGTTGTAGATATAGACTATAGTACCTGCTTTCTGGGTATCTTAAAAAACCTAGAATGTCACCATTATCCTTGATTTTAACCAACAAATACTTTGCCCTTGAAAAAATGATACATGAAAATGTAAACTGTTGTATTACAGATTCTTACATTCTGGCTGTAACTAAGAATAGATATTCCCCCACACCCCCAAAACTGCCACAGTGAAACAGTCACAAAGAATATGATTAATACTAGCTTGGCCTCATTATAAAAATATGTACAGGCAGCTAGGCTTGATGTCCTGAGAACTCATGGTGCAATTAATTGCGCTGACATGAGCTTGGCAGAGGTTTCATCTACTGTCAGGAGTCAGTGGGTGAAGGGAAGCGAATGGTGTACAAGTTTTAGAGCATATTAGAACTAGAAAGGACTGTTAGAAATCCCAGCATTTTACATATAAAGGAAGAAATTGAGTCCCAAGGAAGTAAAATGGCTTGCCTAAAAATATGAGTAGATTAGGATAGAATCTAGGACTACAGCACAGATAGCAAAATTCTCACCTGGTGTGGTTTCTAAAACATTGCTATAACACTGTTTCTAAAACAGCTTGGAATGAAAGCATTAGGATAAGTAGAAGTAAAGAGAAAAAAATCATAATCTGGTCATTATAATGCTATACAGCCCATTTAAAAATTATTTTTATAGAAACAATAGAAGGATTACCTCAGCTATCATCTTTCTTTGTGGCTAACTAGTATCTAGAGAAAAGTGGTGTTGGAAGGAAGCAATTGGAGTTGATTTCTTGTTCAAAAATGACCACTTTCTATGGACTGTCAAAATCTATATGTTGCTTGACTTCAGTTGAACAAAATGATAAATATTTGACTGAAGAGTGAAAAGGAATTTTTCTCATGTGATTAGATTTTTATCAGTGTAACAATGTATTGATCTTATTCACATAATATGTTCTATATATGCAGATATCCTTAGATTTATACTTGAAGAAAATTGTATGTGATTGGCCATATAATACTAATTTTCCATCATCAGATTTGTCCCTGACTACTGTTTTCTATGTTCAGCTGACAGTTTTCCTACCTCCTATTGTTGCTCAACTGGAGCAGGGCCATGTTTCTCATTGAAATATTATCTAAAACATCCCAATGGGGTTGCCTGCTTACAGCTTTATGAGCTGTTCAATTTACAGTCACCTTGCTCCTCACCTTAACCCTTATGAAAATAGGACAAAACATTATTTTAAAAATCTGTAGATGGGCAATCTACTTTCGTAATGATACTGCCTCGGAAACCCAAGGAAGAGTCACTGTGAGTCAGGTCCCACTCGACAGCACATAACAACAACAACAACAACAACAAACCCTTTCTTGGTAGTGTTTACCTTTTGTTTTTGTTTTTAATTCTACAGGTATTATAGCTTCAAAATGTTCTGCAAGTAGTTTTACTTGGGAGGAATGAGAAGCCATCGATGGAAATTTGAACTGAATGGGGCCAGGAAGGGAATACAGATTACTTTCCTTGGGAAGGAATTTTCAGTGAGTTAAATGCCTTCACCCCAGGAAACCATATGAAAAAGGAACATGTATGTGAACTTCCTGTGGAATCGTCCTTGTGTGAAGCTTTGTAACTGTACTGCCACTCTCCCATCTTCGGTTTCCTGTTATTTCCATTTCTACTAAAGTGAATCTGCCTATATTTTGCTGACTAGGTGACCCTGAGACTGACATCTTCTGCAGCAGAAAGAAAGATTTCCCATTGTAATTCCTATGGGACCCTGGACCCTTTTATCAGTGGTGCTCCAGTTTTCTTACCTAGCTGTCATTTCTTCTTTTTCTTCTTCTTTTTTTTTTTTTTTTTTTAATGCTTTTGGGGGTTATTTTTTGCTTCCCCTCACCCCCACCAAGTTACACATCTCCATTTTCTGACCTCTGGGCTTTGTTCCTCAGCAGGGTTCTGAAGGAGAGTTTCTCTTGTTGGGCAGGCCCAGTCTTCTCCCATCAGCCCTGCTGTGACTCCAAAGAAAGGAGCTGCTTGTTGATAGTGCCCTTTGGAGTAAGGCTGTGTTTCCTACCCCACACAGTACTCAGTGGGTGCCAGCTGTCACCGAGGCTTTGTGAGTGCTGCCCTGAAGGAGAGTGCTCGTCCTTCCTCCTCGGTACTGCCTGCTGTTTTCTAAGCATTGCTCCTGCACATACATGCTGTCCTAGCCCCAGCAAGGCTCTTCTTTTCCCATCTTTTGGCATTGTCTTGTGGAGCATTTTTGCTGAAGAAGAGCTCATCAGTAAACAGAGGAGAAAGGGAAAGAGTAGTTTCTCATTTAGTATTGGAAAAACCCCAGTTTATCATCACTGAAAAGTGAGGGAGTCCCTGTCTTTAAGTGTAGTCATTCATGAATAGTCTCTTGAGCTGACAAAAAGGGCACAGCATTCTCATGTTCTTTTGTCTTCTCTGTAGCTTCAACTGCTGAACAGACTTCCTTGTCTTCTCCCTCCTTCTTAACAAATTACTTTTTTTTTAACACCAGAAAGGAAGAGGAGTTTCTGGTGTATCTCACCTCAGGGTCTTTTTTTTGGGGGCGGGGGGGGTGCTTTAGAGCACAAAGCTGAAGATTGCAGCTGAGATCTTTGAAACCAAAGCAGAGTGTGACGAGCCCATGGTCTAGGCACTGTGCCACTGAAGGCAGGTGGATGGAAGTGTGGCCCCTCTCACAACATGCCCACAAGCCAGGGTGGAAGCCAGAAAATCCCTGTCACATTGATGCACTGTCTTGTCTTCTCAGTATCTCCTTACCTGTTTTCTTATTTGCCCAAAGGAAAACACCAACAAAATAGCTTTTTTTTAATGTCATAAGTGAACACACATCCCATTTCTATGTGCTGCATCCTATATAGCACCACTTGGCAGTTTTTCCCACTACTGTTTATTGCTATAAACCTAGCCAACTTGCCTGCTTTTCTGTAGTTTCTTGTTTTCTTTCTCTCACCTGCTGTTCTTGCCACATCTCTGAGTCTGCCTGTTAAGTCCACACTAGAACTCCATGTCATGTCTATTGCAGAAGGACATCCAAGCTGTCTCTAGAAATTTGTGTCTGCTTTCTGCCAGATCCTTTCTCTCCTTTCTTTCTCCCTCCTCATATTTCTCTCTTGTTTCTCCTTGTGTTCAGTTTTGTACAGCTTTATTAGCAGTGCTATTGTAACCAGAAAAGATTATAACCTGATCCAAAGATCATGATTCTTCTGACTCTAGATAGGACCCTTGACATTGACTTGAAATATTTGCATATTCAGGCTACAAGAAATCTCAGGAGAGCCCACGGTCTGAAATCCTTTTCACAAAATAAGCAGCCTGCTTTTGAAATGCTGGCTCTCTTAGTAGCTACATACCTGACTTACCGGTATCTGGCATTCAGCTGCTGCCACAAAACTGTCAGGTTCTGCAGAGCAGTTCTGTGCCGCCTCCTCTGTTCTCTGTGTTCAACAAGGAGTTGGTAAATTAGGTTACAGACTAGCACAGTACCTAATTCATGTTTCCCCATTAGCTGGTAGATAGTACTGTTCTCATTAAGAAACCTGATTATTGCACTTATGTGTTCTTTTCAAGAAGTAAATTGTTGCCTGAATTCAGTGTTACAGATTTCCTTTTTTTGTTGTTGTTATTAAAAATACCACAAGGAGTAGCTGAGAAAAGGGAGACAAGGTGTTTTATTTCTGAAAAGTTAAAAGTTTAGAGAAAAATTGTGTACATATGTTAGTAACTGTTGAAATGCCAAATTTTCTGTACAAGTGTTTTGTAATTAAACTTTCAGATTTACTTTGTTTTTTAAGAAGTTGATATGCTTGCTTGACATTTGCCTCATTAAAACTTTTCTATGTTGAGTCCACTTGGTTCAATTTTTTTTAAAAAAATAATATCTGACTTTTTTTAAGGTAAAAGTTTACACAGCAAATTATACAAATTGTTCTGTGCCCTTGGTTACAATTTTTACAGTGTCAGCATTCTCATTTCTATTCTGTTTGTTCTGTTTCCTTTGGTCTAGTTTCCCTTCCCCTCCTTGCCTTCTCGTCTTTCTTTTAAAAAGTAAATATTGAGAGCTTATTCTCGTGCAGTTAATTGTTTAAGGGGCACCTTACTCACAGATGACGTTGTTTATTTAGTAAGCTGATCTATTATTTGGCTGAAAGATGACCTGCAGAAATAGTTTCAATTCCAAGTTCAAAGGTTATCGTAAGCTGATAGATTCAGGGGGTTCCTCTAGTCTCTAGCAGCTCAGTAAGTCTGACCTATTTTAGGAATTTGAGTTTTGTTCTACATTTTTCTCCCATTACGTCCAGGATCTTCTTTCTATTGTGTCCCTGGTTAGAATGGTCAGTATGGTACCCACGTACCATCTAGTTCTGGTATCAGGCTAGAGGATGCTGTGGTCTCTGTGGCCTATTAGCCCATAGACCACTGATTCAATTATATCTGCATTGTGATGAAAAAAGAAGTCCTACCTCTGCCTTTTCATCTTAAAGACTTTGTCAGGTCTACATTATTCATCAAGTCTATTGTGCTTTTAAAACAGTAACACGTTCATTTTACTTATTGCTTATTCAGAATCTGTCTTAACCTGTTGAAGAATTCCATTCTTTTAATGTGTAACAATACAATGAGTTGTAATTCATTTTAATGTGGCCGTAGTATTCTGGAGGCAACCTGACAGAAGTCTAATGTTTTTAAAGTCAGTGAGGACAGTCCCAATGATGGGAGATCTTTTCATAGAAGAGAGAAATTGTACTTAAATACTTTCTCTTTTAAAATAACCACTACTACTTTTGCCGGTCCGGCGGGTGCCACCATTTAGAAGGTTTTAAAAGCGGCTTGACTATTTTGGATATTTAAAGAGACAGTGCTCTCACAGATTTCTGGGGCTTAAGAACACGTTCTGCTT